TTTAATAAAAATATAAAGATTTAGATTAATGTTGTGCTAATTGATTATCTTTTTGTTGTTTTTTCATCATACCTTATCTTTATTATATGTTTTGTAAGATGAAGGTTCAAATCTTAAAGCTTTTGCAGTCAGGAGCTTCTACCCTTCTTTTTTGGAAGGGTTTGCTTGATTAAAACCACCTAAAATTGAATGTATTTTGATATAATCACTTAGGAAGCATATGTATTCATAATTTTTTTTTCTACAGGACATTGCTTGTTTAAAGTCAATTTCAAAGTTGTCTGTTTTGATAAAGGGTGTATTGACAAGTGAAGGTGGTAAGACTATGAGTTTGTCATGTTATGGGAAAAAGGGGATTTTAGCAAAGCTAAAAGAGTTTTTAGTTATATAAACAAAAGGGGTTATCCACCAATTGTTATATCTAATACTACCCTTAAGGGAATTGATCAAGATCATCAAGTGATTCTCAATAATGAGATGATTGTTCTTTAGGTATGAGTTTATTTTTATTTTTCTTTGCTTTCATTTTGTCTAAAACATTAATTAATTCTTATTTTTTGCAGTCTCTTGGATTTGATCTTATTGTCTATACTCCACACCTCTCAATTGACGGTTTTATCGATAATATGGAGGTTAAATTTTAATTTTTTTTACTTTTTTTTATAACTCTGCAAATATTTTCTTTATTTTCGTTTCTTCTACTTCTTATTTGGATTTTATTTATTCAAACAATGGTAAACTTTAACATTTGAAGGTGCTTCCTACCTCTATCCTCTTAAATATATTGTAAATTTATCCGATCTTAATTTTTGATAAAGAATGTTTGTGTCTTTTTATAGGATTTACACGAGACAACAAAAATGGTTGCAGATAGAATGATGCGTTCAGAGGCACCACTTTTTTTTCTCCTTGACAGGTATTATTTTTCTATGTATTATTTTTATTAAATTGGAGATAATTTGAACTTATGATCAATATATAATCTGAACTTATGAAAATGAATGTTGTAGCTTGCACCGGCTGCTTTGCATATATCTAATGAGGAGCATCAAGTTGTTGACTTTGAAAGGTTTAAATAGTTTCTATTTGTTAGCAAATTCATCATCTCTTATTTTTTATAACAATTTGTTTTTTATGTTATTTTTGTTTTATTATATTATACAGATATTTGAACAACATATTTTCTATTCAGCATCCGGCATGACTTGTTTCTGAACTCAAGGTTTATCTTAATGCTATTCATCAACTGCTAAATATTCAATTCTTTAATATTATTTATTTAGTTTATTACTCAACATGTTTAACATATCTAAGATGCATCTTTAGTGGTTATTGTGATACATGTGAAAATTAATTAAAGTTTGAAACCACTAAATTTAATTCTATAAATCGAATTTAAGTACATTGCTATGTCGATTTATAGAATTGAACATGTTTTCATTGTTTTAATTCCAATTTAAGTACATTGCTATATCTTGCATTTACCCTTGATTTGGCTAAATGCATAAAATAGCAATGTAGTTTCATTGTTTGTCTACGATCACATGTATTCATTTCTATATTAAACTAATAAATAAAACTCTATTGTTATTTATTGCTTTTAACCCTCAAAATAAATGTATATATTTAATTTTCTTTTACAAATTTAAACTCTATTGCCTAATCGATTTCTTCCCCTAGATGACGTTTTCACCCCTACACCTTGCATCCCCTATTTATGTCAATAAAGCATGGTTCTTTATGGGTTGGCTACGTTTTGGAATCAAGAAAACAAGTTGGCGGCTAGATCTAAATACTCCAAGTCCAAAAGGAAATATCAGTTCAACTTAGCACATGCAAGATGTCAAAGATCAAGTTTAATTTAGAACTTGGAAGTTGTTAAAAAGTTCATGTTGATGCTCAGTATTGGAGAAGTACACTGCTATTTCAGTTGTTCTCAAGCCCTCTCACCTTCAAGCGCTTTCATCAAATGGCATAGAAAATCCGACTTAGTATGAAGGGTGAGGTCTAATGAAAGTATGTTGCTATTATGATAAATAAATGTAAGTCTGTGCTATTATGGATAAAAAAAAATAAAGTATGTTTTTTTTTGCAATTTCACCTTATTTCTATCATATGATAAATTATTGTTTATATCTTTTGAATTGTTGGAATTTATGGTAATTATGAGCATTTTAGTAAATTGTTATCTGTGACCGAAGATGAGAAGCAAGAACAACACCAGATTCTCGTAATGGGCAAGTTCGGTTTGATATGGAACTTTCAAAAAGTGAAATTGGGTCGCACAAATTCTATAGATATCATATATTCTTGATTCTAGACAGGGACTTTGAACGAGAGATAAGAATTACACTTAGTATGTAAACTTCTCATATCGTGATTTATTTCCTTTTTGCATACACATATATTCGGTTTTAATGCAAGAAAGAGCCATTTATTTGTCTGTTATAACATGTTATTTTTACATCTTTCTATTACGTTACTGTACATCCTCCCATTTTCTTTCCTCAAATTTTCAGTAGAAAAATAGAATGAGTTGTAAATACCTTAAAATGACTAGAATCGCAAAAGATGAGGAAGACAATTATGTAAGTTACAACGTATTGTTTAAATTATCCAATTTTCTTATGATAAGAAAATATTTTCCATTAAACTTTTATTGATGGGTATTCTATTTATTTATATTTATTTGTTATGTTTATTATTATCGTTTTTTGATTTTTTACAATTAGGATGTTTGAGCTAATATAAAAGTTGATCATTCAAAAAATCGGATACCACATTCTTAACAATGTCACACATAAAAATTCGACACAAGCGCGTTCTCCTATTACAATACGAGTTCGATGATGATATTCCAAGTTGCCTTTAACTTAGTTTTAATATGTTTTAAGACATCCTTTTGGACCTTGCATTTTTTGCTGAATCTTTTCTCTTAGAAAAACAATAATCCAATCACGCAACACGTATCTGAGTTGAACAAGGTGATGATGCACAATCACATACATGGTGGATTACATATTCTTTTTAACACAAAATGGCAAAGTATAATTTATTTTAAAAGTAAGATTATATACAAAAAAACACGTTAATTCATTTATCGGTCAACCCGTCCACCGGACGGGTATAACACTGGTTTTTTATGACATGGGTATACATTTGATTTAAAAGAGCAAACTAACTTACCAGAGTAATTATCTATTCATTTTGTTCATATTTATGTAACTTTTTTTGTATATTGTTGACCACCGAACTTGTTAAAATTGTTCAAATGTTGTCATTATCAGCAACTATCTTAGGTTACAACTTGGCGTATATGTGACATCTATGCGGCAAATTAAAATGGAAAAATGACTTGGGATTGTAATTATTTAATTCGTTTGTTCACATTTGGAAAACGTTTTTTACATGATTGACACTGTGCTTGTTAGAAGTGTTCAAATGTTATCATTTGTAACTAATATTCATTTTGATAATTAAGTAACTATTATATATATATATATATATATATATATATATATATATATATATATATATATATATATATATATATACACACACACACATATACTAGCCGTTTACCAGCGCCAAGCGACGGGTGCAAATAATTTTTTAGAAATTAGTTTCTATAGGCAATTAGTTCTTTTGTGCAAATGATTTACTACATCTAAACAATTATCAGTAAGAGTCATGCTAGTAGAAACGAACTCAATAAGATTAAAAATAAAAAGGAAGAGTCATGCTAGTAGAAACGAACTCAATAAGACTAAAAATAAAAACTTAGGATTCTTTATAAATATACATAAACACATGATTGATTGTCCATTATTAATCGTGCAACTTTTCTTTATACTCCAGATTTGATGTATAGACTTCACTGACATTGAATTTTTCATCAGGTTTCGATAATATTTTTGTATTGGCACGCAAAAATCTCGGGCTTATAAATGTTTAGATTCTAAAACTATAGAACATTCTTGTTGCACCTCACGAAAAACTCCATATGCTAAATCAACATACTACCTTTAGTTTTGTTTAATTTGTTTATTAAAAAATACCTATATGCATTACTTTCCTTTGGTCCAATGATGGCACAGAACATATAGTAGATTCTAGATAGTATTAAGTCTTAGTTAACGACCAAAAAAAGTGATAGCTTCCCTTTGGAAACCAAAAAAACCATATATCACATAGAAGAGAAATTTGAGATGATGCAAATCTATCAGTGTAGGGTCAAATATAGTTAAATGTTAGCAATATTATTAAAGTTCCATAAATAATTTAAATTAATTTATCTGCTAGAAAAATTACATGGATAATGATTAAGATCGGTTAAATTAAAATTTAATTCCATATCAAAATGGCATGGAATGAAAATCAATCATTATTTATAATTGAATCACATATAAGGGAATGACCCATTTTATCCCATAAAAACAAAAATACATCATTTTGGTGATTTATGTAGCTTAAAATCTAGAAACTATGCACTTGTTGAAACATGAATGATTCCCTACATGTGGAGATAGCTAGACATTATAACGAAATTAAGTCCAACAATGGAAAAAGTTAGTCTATTGATATGTATGGATACTTGTGTAAACAATGTTGATCTAATTACTTGAAACAATAATCTTCTGTATGTGATGGTGTCTTTGTTTGAACAACACCAAAAGAAAAGTCATATACTTTGACACAAAGACCAGTGACATTAGGGATAAATGGACACAAATACCAAGGGGTTGTCTAATTCCTACCAATTCTTGTATCTAACTATATCAGACTTTGACACCTATTCACAACAACTTCTAAGAAGAAAAAAAACAAAAATAAAAATTGGAAGAATCACTTTCGGGGGTATTTTAGGTACTTCCAGGCCAAAAGGATAAAAACAAAAAATGAGGATACAATCATTTTAATTCAAAACAATATCAGAATAAACCACTATTTTACATTACATAAATAATAAGCATTTCAAAACTATAAGTAAATTATTAAAGCCCACTTGAATGTTAAAACCTTCTAATCTGCAAAATTACATTTGTCCAATTAGGGCTGAATGGAAGAAATAACAACAAACTCCCAAGTTTAATTGCTTCCTTCAACATTGCACTTTCAAGATTTTTCTTAATAATTAATTAAAATCTATTTAATTATAGAATTTGTACTCTTAATTTTTTTTCTTATCATGGTTTATGAACCAGCAATGACAATTTGAATTTGTTTTCAACATTGCAAAACTTGATTCACAAAGTTCATTTCACCCGATCATTAAAATTCTATTAGTCCAACTTAATCCGAATGGAAATAATTTGCCCCTGATGATGATGGTGTTGTTGATGGTCTGCAATATGCATTACATAAAAGGTTGAATTTTTGAGTGTTTTTTTTGGACAAATTTACCCCTGATGTTGGGAGGCAGTGAGTATTGAAGATACTGTTGGAGCTTGCTACAAGGCTATGCAACTCGTGAATCTACATGCCCCTACCACCTGTCATACACACACAAACGTGCTATCTGCTATTAGGTGGAAGGTAAAAGCAAAAAAATGAAATTAGGGATAAAGGGGTTGCATACATATGAAAATAGCTGTAATAATTTAAGCATAAAGAATTTGCAAACATGTAAATGAAAAGAGATATTGAAGGGGTCAAAACGGTTGATCCCACCGAAGGTGAAGTTGAATTTTTAGATGTCACGATTGAGAACTGTATATACACCTGAAATCAGAAAATCACAGCAGTTATCAAGAAAATCACACCAGATATCAGAAATAACACACCATAGATTATAAATTCACACCAGATATTAGAAATTATAACTAAAAAACAATCGCAGAAGGAATTCCAAACAACAACTATCACAGTAAAACCCCCAAGGCAACCAATTTGTGACCCAACTAACTTGCTGAAAATATGAAAATCATATTAAAACAAAAAAATCCCATAATTAATTCAAAATTTCTAAGCAAAAACATTAAAAATAGCATTGCTATCGGTTTAAAATAGATTAAACATCTAAAGTTCTTTGTTTGACATAAGCCAATAGAGCATGAATTTGAGTAGTATTGACATGAAAAGGGTTAAAGTTGCTACCTTTTGCAGTTACCATCTAGTGTGTTACTTGATTTTAGTATTCCGATCCCTCAACACATGGTTATGTTTGTTTGATCTTGAATGGGGTACACCTGAAAATATTAAATTCCATGATTACATTATTAAGCATTCAAATTTGTAACACATAAAAGAAGCAAATTGAAGAAACACAAATAGCAAAAATATTTATATTGATTTTTCTCAGATAGCACTCTAGCATAGTCCCATCCAAAAGTGCTCCCAACTGTACTTATTACTAAAATACCTACAATATATACATACAAAACCCAAACCAAAACCCGCATGTGGAACTAAAATACAACAAAACCACCAAATAATAATAATAACAATAAACAAAAAATAGACAAAATTATTTTTAGCAATTTATGCAACTAACCTGTACCATAACGCCGAAGATCAAGATACCACCAAAAAATCTCCTTATTCAGATTCATTTCATCCAAACGATTTTCCAAATAATCAAGGCGTTCTTCCCTATGACTTCCACCAATAAGCTCACCAACCTACCAACAAAAAAATATACTATTATTATTATTATTATCATATCAAACAATAACATGTGTATTTCAAAATATAAGTAATTATAAGCTTCTCTAAACAAAAGAATAATAAATATTATTACCCGTGGGACAAGTAGATCCATGGCTGCAACAGTCTTGCCATCATCATTTTGGCGCATGTAGAAAGCCTTAATTTCCTGATAATTTAAATAAATAAATAGTTGTTACTTTTTTATTATTATTTTTGCAAAAGGGTAATAAGGGAAAAGATGATGCCTTTGGGTAGTCAGTGATAATAACAGGGCATCCATTGAAAGCCTCTTCGGTTATGTAACGTTCATGCTCGCTTTGCAAATCACATCCCCATTTCACCTATTATACAAAATAGCAACATACTTTCATTCATTTGTTTATTAATATTTATAGCATCCTTAATAAGAAAATGAAAATACCTAAAATTTATACTTTGATTTTAGAAGCAATTCAACTGCATCTGTGTAAGTCAATCTCACCAAGCTCTTCTCAACCACATCTTGGTGGAACAAAATCAAGAATTACACAGGGGCAATACAGTAATTTTGTAGAGGGATGAATGATGATTATGAATTAAACCCAAAAAAAAATCATACACTTAGATGATCATAATTCCTTTCTCAATCCAATTGTTGAAGAAATCCATATCTTCTTTGCAATTTTCAAGAACATGTTTCACCTAAATTGTTAAAAAGTTCATACCATTTTTTAAGACATGAACTATAAAAGTATAAAGTGGAACATTTTTTTCAAGAGGGGGTAACAAGGTAATTTACTATCTATAAAGGGTGGATAAAGTAACATACGCCATACTGGAGATAGGCAGTGACACATGCCATGTCATCATTCAGGTCCGCAAATGCAAGCTCGAGCTCAATCATCTTCACAGAAATACAAATTAAAAAAAAAGCACTTGTTTAGTTATTTAGTTCTATAATTTATAGAAACACTAATATTTATGGAAATGAGAAAATACCCAAAATTCTGCCAAATGTCTAGAAGTGTTGGAATTTTCTGCCCAAAAAGTAGGACTGAATGTATACACCTGAAATACGGTATAAATATTTTTAAAAACTAATAAAATAATGTCATGTTTTGAATGATTCTTTTAAGTTTAAATAACAAATGAAGGAAAAAAGTATATACATCAGAAAGAGCAATTGCATATGTTTCAGCATTGAGTTGACCAGAAACTGTCAAGAATGCAGGCTTTCTGAAAAAATCCTGTGAAATCAAAATGCAATTATTGGAACATAAAAAAAATTAAAATCCGAAAATAATATAATGTATTCTATATAAATCCCATAGAGAGAAATTAAATAATAGCATTGTAGATAGTTAGAGGCAATAACTCATTCTTATCAAACAGAGGGGCAAAATGGTCATTTACTCACTTGTGACCAATCAATCAAGCCATTTTCTGTTTTTGGGATTGAACTGGCTGGAGAATCAATAGCTTCTTTCGAGCTTGGTATCTGGTACCACAACAAAAAAGATCAAGGCCAAAGATGTAAAAAAAACAAAATGGAAGTATGAGTGAATTTTATAATAAATTAAAAGAAGCCTACATTAAAGAAATCATACCAATGTGGTTACACAAAATTGTTCACCAGCACCTTCACAATCTGCAGCTGTAATAATAGGACTTGCAGTCCAAACAAATCCATTTTCTTGAAAGAATTTATGTGTAGCATAAGCCAAAGCATTCCTACCCCTAGATACCTAAATTCAAATGGAATATCAAATGAGTGACAATTAGAAAAATGTAAATACAAGTCTTTATCTATATGTAAGTGTGTGTGTGTGTGTGTAAATATAACTGCACCAAAAGTATTATTATTATGTGTTGCTTAGGCAGTGGAGATAGAATTGGATATTGGTGGTGACAGCGGAAATGAAGAGGAGAAGGTTTCTTATGGAGAGAGAGATAGAGAGAGATGGAGAGAGATAGATACAGAGAGAGAGATGGTTGTACAACACCATTTTTTCTCTTAAACCTCTTAACAGAGAAAGGAAAGTTGAATCAAACCCTAGTTTTCTAGAAAAAGGGCTTTATGTCGGATTTCTTGAACCTGATTCAAATTCAGATGATGTACATCAATGTATACGTGAGTGGTCCATCGACTTCAAAGGTTTTTATGACGAGATCCATATGTGTTGGTGACTGGAATAAAGGAAGATAATAGAAAGAAAGAAGGTGATCTACAGATTATCTGAATCTTACCTGAGGGCGAAGACCAGAAAGATTGTGGTAACCACGGTACTGACTCCAAAATCCATTTAAAACATAAATCAGAAAGATATGAAATCAATAAAATCGATGATGGTGGTGTAGACGGTGGTGTGTGGTGGTGGAGGTCACTGGTTAGGGAAGAAAAAGGTGATTGTCTTACTGTTAACTGATGATGGAGATGAAGGGGGAGAACAACATTCGTTTTGGAGATCAATGACATAGTGGTCATCATTGAAGAAGAATGGGAGTAGGGTGATGGCTTTTGGTGGTCTCTGATTAAGAGAGAATGAGGAGACGTTGATGGTGGAATGTCTTGGTGATGGCGGTGTAATAGTGGTCTTGGTGATGGCGTTGTAATAGTGGTGCAACGGTGGTGCTGTGATGCGGAGATGACGAATACGGTAAGCGGTGTGAGGAGTGTTATCTGGTGTGAGATGGCGGTATAGAGAACAGTGGATGTGGGGGAGGGTTATATAAATGGCCAGAAAGATTAAGTGTAGGCGGAAGAAATGACGACATAGAGGGGGAGTTGTTGGAAGGGATAGGGAATGAGGACTAAGTCAAGAGCATCGAGGTTTAACTATACGTTGACCAGTTGAGATTAAGTATTTTGGTAATGCATAAGCTGATTGTAAATATTGCAATGAGGATTGTACCTCTTAAAATTCAGCAAAACATGGTAAATGCTTTTTAAGGTATAAAGATATATATATATATATATATATATGTATATATATATATATATATATATATATATATATATATATATATATATATATATATATATATATATATTCTAAAATTTGATGTTACTTTTAAACTTAATTTTACTGTATTTTTTATATGTTGTTACAAATAAATTCGATTTTGTTGAATCTTTTTATAGAAGCAATAGCTGCGAATTTTTGAAGATAAATTACAAAGTTATGAAACAATAGCTACAAAATTTGTTACGAAAAAATTGTTATGAGATTTTCTATGCAAATGTAGTTATGGAATTTACGATTCTCAACCAATAAGTATTGTGTTCCTGTATAACTAATTCTCAACCAATCATTTTAAAACCCTAGATAAGGGCATTTTAGTAAATTAACATAATAATTAGTTAACATATTTTAAATTAATCCACAAAATTAGGAAAAAATCAATACACTCCAAATTTATTTGATTCCTTTTTTCTCTTATCTCCTTAAAACCGATTTATAGTCTCCAGAGAATCGGCGCTACATATTTTCTTTTCCTCTCTGAGACTCCCTTCATCGCATCGTTTGTTGCAGCCTCACATGTAATGTCCCAAAAATCAGAGTAAAATTTTCATTTTTCCAAAACAACCCCAAGTCAATAATTGTTTACAAAAACAATGTTTCAAAAGTATAGTTTGTAAATCAGAGTATCCCAAAATCCAATAACATAAAATCTGAAGCATGTGTATGATCACGCCTTTGCTTTTCCCGATCATCTGAAGTACCTGAAAGCATAACAAACAACTATAAGCACGAAGCTTAATGAGTTCCCCCAAAGTACCACCACACAGACAGATATCATACAACAAACATGCATACAAGATTTGTTGACCTCTAGTCTCAACCCAACCATATCGGGTTTGTTGGTACGTGTCCTCAACCTAACCATCTAGGTTTGTTGGCACGTGGCCTCAACCTTACCATATTGGGTTTGTTGATTGGCAACACAAAGCAGTACAGTCTCAACCCAACCACACTATGTCGACATATGAAACAGATAAACATATAGCCAGTAAACAGATAAGCAGGAAGATCTACAGATCACTACCGTATAGCAACATCCTAAATACTAGGATACAGATCTAACAGATTACTACAACATAGCAACATCCTATATACCAGGATACATAACCTAGTGGGTCGGCATTGGTGCCTTCAACCCACAAGTACAGTGAGGAAAACTCACCTGAATGAAGAAACCCGAGAAACACTGCAACACGCTTCCTTCTACACTGCTTGCTCCCGCGGATCCAATAACACCAGAACCATATAAAATCTTAATCACCAGTCAAAACCCTCAAGTTTGACGTAAAGTCAAACTTGGTCAAAAAGTCAACGGTCAACAAATTCAACAAAAGTCAAAGTCAAAGGTTGGTTGAGTACACCCTGTGTACTCAACTTATGCCCAGTATACATGGGATGGTTTAGTACACCCAACGTATGAAAATTACGCCCAACATACACGAGTTGGTTCCATCCTTTCCATTAAACACTTAATCCCTTAAGTACTTTACACCCAAACTTAGATCTAGCCTCAAAACATTGTGTTAAGTCATAAAGTTTCCACCTTTATGACTTTCCATGTCTAGGGAATGTACAAAAGCTAAAACCATAACGTATTAATCCATTAAGACATTACAAATCCTGAAGGGAAGGGATAGAAGGACCAAGATCACATTTTTATGTTTCCTAATAGCTCCATAATGGATAAAGTTTCCAAATTTATCCATTAGAATGGTCCTAACAAACAAGATCTAGTCTTTAAGTCTTAAAGGGACCAAAAGTGCATCTTTTTCAACTTAATCCATTAAGTGCAAGTCTCCAACCTTCATATATGAATCAATATGATGTTTAGATGGATAAAGTTTCCAAATTTATCTATAACAAGGTCACAAACTTTCGAGATCTATACTTTATGCACTTAAAGTGACCAAAAGCTCATAACACCCCAAACTAGCTAGATCTAACAATTTCATCATCAAGATTCAAACTTTATACCTCCAAAAGAAAGATCAAGGTGAACAAGGTTTGGATCTACAAGCTCCAATGCAACCAATGCTTCTTCAATGAGTTCCTTCTTCTCCAAGGTGAACCGGGAACACTCCAAAGCACTTAAAAACACCTTCTTTTTGCTCACAAGGCTCAAAATAGAGATATGGTTTCAAGAGAGGGTTTTTGAGAGGTGGAGGCTGAGAATGGAATGGATTTGGGGAAGTTAAGGAGCTTAAATAGGGCTCAAAACACGAAAATAGGGTTTGGACACTGATTGCATACACCCAGCGTACTCCTGGTACGCCCAACGTACTACAGATGCACTAGTACGCCCAACGTATGCGGCTAACCAAAAAAATCATCCTAACTTCAACGGTCGTAACTTCTTCGTTCCAACTCCGTTTTCGACGTTCTTTATATCCACAGAAAGGTGTTGAAGAGCTCTACAATATTATTTAATTATCTTGGACTAAAAACTTCTCGAACAAAAATCCATATTTCATGCAAGTTCCCGCCCTATGACTTTTCCTTTTCCACCCTTCGGCCCTAAACACAATTCAAGGGTTAAATTTCTTAACTAAAATTACTCCTTCCACAAGGACTAAACTTTTTCTCCTTAAGGCCCAAAACCTTACACAATTGACTTCCATCCCACGGCCCAAAAAATGGCAGGAAACAGGATGTTACAATTCCTCCCCACTTAAATTAGATTTTGTCCTCGAAATCCGTCTCGGTTACGATTTCTAAAACAACACCAACATATTCCATAAACTCCCTCTAACCATTTCGAAATCAATGTATCTTATAAATAAAACTCAAGACACCACAAAAACCATAAAATCAACAATTTTCTCTCCCTAACTACATGACCCAACTTCTAGAGAAAAACCACAAAAACCGGGGACTCTCAGTACTACAACCACAAACCATCCTCATCCCTATACTTCCCGAAACCAGGAACCCATCAGTCTGTTCTTAGAAACCTTACCCTAAGACTGATGATCATCCATTCGTCGTACCCACCCCTAGTCCCTGACTAGGGACACCACCAAACGTGCTGAAAAGATACTCAACACATTCTGATCGCGAATTCTGCCCAAAAACTTTAAATATACTCTTGACTTCCTGACAAGTCATCACCAACCCGCTGCCCCCATAGGCATAAGGATGGTCAATCCAAGAATTCGCACATTGCATCGAAATCCCTCATCAGCTCAGGTGTACCCCTGCCTGAAAAATCACTCGAGATTTCAGAACGAACCCCTCATACTGGAAACCAAACTCCTAATAGAAAGCCCACAAGAATACGGGGTCCACCATAGCAACCATTCATTAAGCGACTTTCGGTGCACAAAATAATAAACCATTTTAAATAACTTTTCATGAGCAAATGATCCAAACCAGCTGGTCACCGAGTCTTCCGACTCCCAAGAACAACGCACTGTCATCCAACCATGCCAATAAGACTAACGATCTGAGACCTAACAGTCTCAACCAAATGGCTACCGGGTCTAAAGGTACTAAACCATCAACCCACTGTCTTGTAGAAAACCCATTAAACATTCCTTTCAGCGCTAATCAATCACAACCCAGGCCATACCCTTTTTATTACGCGCAATACCTTGCACAACCTAGGCTACTACCCAACAAACGAATGAGATAGGTTGTTGTACTCTTTCTCCAACTCAAGGGCTACAAACCAATTAAGAACCGTATCAATGAATTCAGACCAGGTGTTCTCATGCTATCTTACTCAGTCCATATACACCTCCTCATCACCATATTTGATGAGCTACCACAATATACATCCCCAAAGGGAAGCACATAACCATCTCTAGATCTACTGTATTCCTTCTTCCTAACAACCTTACCCAAAGTATGAAGTCTCAGTTGATTTAATGAAATGACGATCCTCAACCGTTATCAGAACATCCTTATGAACGATCGAAACCAGATCCCACGCCTTGATTGAAACTGAATAGATTCCACCAATACGTAAATTGCTCGAAAAGACTTCTAAGGTGATCTATAAATGTTGCCAAAACTTTAGTCAGATCAATCCCACTACAAATCCTGCCGACACAACATGCCAAAAATTAGATTCTTCGTAGATCAAAATCACACCTGGAAAACTAAACAATGCTGCCCTAACATCCATACTTCCAATAACAAAGGACAACTGCCAAACTTGAGCCTGCTATGAATTAAAATTCCACACCATAATTGAGGGTAAACATACCCAAAAACCAAAGAAAATATAAAACATGCGGAACTTGACGATAGGTTGACGCATTCATTGAACTTCAACTGACACAACTCGAAACTTTCGAAGAACCTCCGCCTTATAGACGATGAACGAAATGACCAACGATCGAGGATGCATAGAAAATTAATCCCATGACCCAATATACTACTGAACAACCCATGTGGAACTAAATATACCAACTCTGAAACTAATCGACCGATCAGCAATTACCCATCCTGGACTATAGGTATTAAGCTATATAACAGGCTGACAAATTTCTCAACAATCGATTCTTAACCTGAGCGACCCAAACGCCTCTTGATCTATTCCTCGATGCTTCCTAAATGAGCCACTAACTACAACGAGCCCTTTGTCCAAAATCTTCTTGTCGCGAAGACGGCTCTTGGATTCCTATCCACATACATATGATGGCAACTTGCTCTGCACTCCTGTCTTGCCAAAATCCTGAACCAACATTTCCCGAACCACAATTCCCTATGACCCATTCTTCTGAAACCAAAACTCGAAGAGG